AGCGAAAGGCTCCGTCCCCGTAACAACCTGCTCTGGAGCAAACTGTAGACCTCGTCAAAACTGACGGTCGAACTGTCCTATTAGACCCAATTACAATGGTTTGAAAAAAAGAGGTCTGAGTTTAAAAGCCCCACAATTGTGGGAGTTACTGGATGAAACCACTACGCTAACAGATGTGAAACTGAACTTGGATTTTCTCATGGTTCGTGTACCTTGGTGGTGAGCTGAGTGCCTGTCCCTTGCAAGGTTTACATATCCTTCCGTCTTGTGCACGAGGAAGATTAAAACCTGCGCAGCCTCCTCACGGTACCTACAGTAGATTCCCTATCTCATGAAATGTCACCCGGAATTCTGAAATGCGTTTTCGATTCAAACATATTGATTACGTATGATTGTCACTTTTTTTAAACCGAAAGATCCCCCTCCTTTAAATATTAAATTTAAAGAAGGCGCAATTTGCTACCAAAAGAGTACAAGTAAATTTTTTTTCTCTATGTTTTTCATAAAATATAGTTGCATTTATAAAGGCAGTCAAAATCAATGATGAAAATGCATACTAGTTAAGTAACCACATTTTACAGCACATACTTTTTATTAGCTGTCAAATAGGAGCTCATTAAAAAGCCGGTACCCTGATGTGACCAAAATATATTGAGATTAGGCTGTATGATCGTCATTCTTACAAACATACGTAATTAATACGTTGAATCGAAAACGCATTTCAGAATTCCGGGTGCCATTTCATGAGATAGGGAATCTACTGTAAACTGATTCCAGTGCAAACGGACCTTAATGGAGAGGAATGAAAGTAGAAGGTGGTCTCGGAAAACAGATACATTTCAACGACCTTAAAGTTAAGTAGGCATGAGAAAAGCGAATAAGTATTGCACAAATGGCCACCTTTTTGTTCCGCACGGCAGTTCCCCTGCAAATGGCAGTGCATTCAAACTCTGTCACCCAGGGGCTTCTTTAAATTACATGAACACGCATACTGCTTCCCCAAAACCCAGCCGACATATCTCCTAACCTACGGTATATGACTTAGCTCCTATAAACAAACTGTGTCTTCTCTGTCGTGGGTTCGAATGCCATCGAGGGCGTCGGAATTTTAAAATTAGTTTTCAACCAGATTATATAGGCCGCTTTTACTGCCTAAGCTGCCCTTCGATCTACGAGCTTCCTCAGAATTTGAGAAACTACTATCTGTATCTAATTAGATCGATAAAGTGATCACATGAGACTGTAACTTTGGAAGTGACATCTTAAGTTAAAACTTAAAATAACCAGCCGACCAGAAGGTGTCTGCGGAAGATGGTGTAATCGACGTGCATATAGTTAATAATGACGGCTAGGAATGACTAGGGTTCAAGTGGGTTGGAGTGAGTCCATTCAAGTGTAGTTCTTAAATGCTGATACGTTGTACTCTGAAAAATAGGACTTCATGTCTCGCAGGTGTCATCCCTTTGGTAAAGTCTGTACTATATTACGCTTCCGTTATTCAAAGATGCTTTCATATTGTCTGTTGGCCTTTCAAGTCTGTGTGGAGAAGCAAACTTGGTTAGATAGTAATGCAAATTGGACCTTCAGAAAACTTTGCGCATATAGTTCCATTATGAATTTGACTCATAGTGGTAGTACCCAAATTTTTTTAACTATTCGTCTGTCAAACAGCGTGGACT